TCTTATTTGCACATTGTTTGCTGGTTTCGTTGGGTACCTCCTCACTAGAATAGGCTTGTTGGTCGTACGAAACAGGCATCACAGGGATTCAAACCCTACAAGTGATATAGCCACATCAACAACCACCATCGATATGTTATCAGAACATAGTTTAGGGAAGTCAACAAGCAGTCTCAATGAAAGTTATATATTAGAAATTGGGAAGGCCGACGTAAGCACATTACAATCCGGACAGAGCCTCAAATGCATTCTACGAGAAAAGGATGCGGAATGAGAAGGCTTACTAGGTATAGTTTGTATAATCTAGGCTAAATGAGTTAGTATGTGTGTTTTTTTTCCTGTTTTAGGAAAGGAATAGTTGATGAAAAATTAAAAAGTACTTACCATATGAGACATCAAACCTGGGCCCTACCGATAAAAAACTTGGGATGCGAGCTAATCAGAAGGGCAAATAGGCCAACGAAGCTACAAAAAAAAATAATAAACAAGGCGAGTGAGAATTGATTAGTGAATGAGGAATGAATGAATTAATGAGAAAATGTGAAACGGTGTTTGCTTCACAAATCAAGGAGTAATGTGAAAGAATGTCAGGGAAAGGGCTTTACATTAATTCAGCCAAAATGGCAATAACATTGTGAATGCAAATGATGTCGAGTCCATCAAATGAACTGCGAATGAATGAACAGTTCGCAAACGGATTCGTTTGGAAAGTGAAGAGGGTGTAAAGGACCAATGGATTCTAGATTATATACGAGAGTTATTGTAAGATTTGGCAGAACACGATATGGCAATTTCTGAAAATATTATTATGTCCAACTTACGGATACTTCTATGTCACGAAATTACGTAGGCTGTGAAAAATTCGGCCAATTGATTATATAATATGTTGTTGGCATAAACAATGAAGTTCGTTTGGAAATTTTTTCATTAAGAATAGAGTTCATACTATATAAGATATTGATATGAGGGCTATTCAGACAAGCAAATTTTGTAAGTTCAAGTTTGAATGGGCTAAAAAAGGGCCAGAAGGATGTCAGTAGTTGAAACTAAGAGAGCACGACTATCAGCATAGGGAAATACATGCTTTAATCTTAACTGGAACGCGGCCTGTGTTCTAGCGGGGAAGCGGGGTAGCGGGAGCGCGATGGCGTGACATCATCAGTGACAGGGTGTTTGAGTTTAATAAAAATTGAAAATTATATATACAGGGTGTCCCACGGTTAGACCACCCCACTTTAGGGGTAAATATTGAAGGATTGGGGAGTGTGGGTACTCTGAGAGAAGGATTTTTCGCGAACATTCCAGAAATGGCAAATTGCCTATATGCAAAGTCTCAAGGTTTACAAGATATCGCTCTGAATGCGTTGGAAATATCATATGAAATAGTCTCTTTGGATATGACATAGTAGAGCTAGTTTCGATTTTTTTCCCAGCGTCAAAAGGAAATATGAATAAGTATTGAAGTTGAATATGATCAAATAACAGGAAATTAGTGGTAAGAAGATATTACAATAGAATAACAAGTTTATCATTTGGAAGGAAAAAACAAATTTTACAAGAAATGGAAAAAACAAGGCAAGAGCTAGTTTCGATTTTTTTCCCAGCGTTGAACGAGAATATGAATAAGTATTGAAGTTGAATTGAATCAAATAACAGGAAATTACTGATAAGAAGATATTATAATAGAAAAACAAGTTTATCATTTGAAAGAAAAAACAAATTTTACAAGAAATGGGAGAAAAACAATCTCTTATCAGAAGACAACATATTATGTGAGAAACATTATGTTTTCATTCTACCACCTTGATATATAACAGTGGAGCGCTCTGACAAAATTCAGTCAACGTTCGACATCCACATAAATCAACACCTAGCCACATCTAATAGCAATCTTGTGTAGTGCCAACTGCTAATACCTAATAAAAGTAAGTTTTTTTTCTTTATATTCACCTGGTAATGCAATTTCTTTAAGTAATTTTTTCGTTTTTATTTCTAAGAGCGAATAATATTGTATGATATGTTTTCTTTAATAATTATTTCATTGTTGGTGTACATATCATAATTCATTTCGATGTTTTTCATATTGAAAAGTAAATGTCATTGTGTGTTTTCATCGATTCATTTCTTCGTGTACCCATCATAATTCACTCATTCTATTTCAAACATTTGAAATGAAGAGATTTTCACTGATGTTGTTTGATTTCTGATTTTTAGGTATCACATTACAGTTAGACAGCCACATAAAATCAACACCTAGTCACATCTGATAGCAATCTTGTGTAGTGCCAAAACTGTCAATATCTAAGAAAGTAAGTTTTTTTTTCTTAATATTCACTAAAGCCTGATCCTGATGTTTGATGCAATTTCCGTAATTCACTTTTTTGGTTTTCATTTCTAAAAGCGAATACTGTTGCTTAATATCTTAATTTTTTTTTGTGTACATTTCATAATTCATTTCAATGTTTTTTCATATTGAAAAGTGAATGCCATTGCGCGTTTTCAAGGATTCATTTTTTCGTGTACACATCATAATTCAACCATTCAAAATGAAAAGACCAGTTCCACAATCTTTTCTTTTTAGATGGATCTGAATGTAATCAATAATGTTGGACTGTCATGCAACAGGAAAGTGTTGAGGAAACTGAGCCAACTGCCCCTAGATGTGCCACACCCCATTGTCGGAGTGCAAATTGAACCGGGAAAATACGGAGAAGCACCACTCGTTGAGTCGGACGATTGTAAGGTGTTTCTACCAGGCAGAGCGACCCAAGCCATCAAACCTGCGGTGGAGCAGTTTATCCAAAACAAGTACGCCCTCATCTACAAGGGACGAAAAAACTGCGGCCAACTCCATCCCATCGAGCAGTTTGAAATTGTGGAAACAGCACCTCAATCACCAACATCATAAGCTATTGAGAATCAGAGTGTGAGTCATTTTACTTTGTCACTTTTCGCAAGATACATTTGTAAAGATGAATATCGCTAAACAATCAGATAACTCAGTGATAGCCATTAGGAAACTAAAGAGAATTTTGTTTGATAATTTCACTGATAGGGATGAAAAAATTTGGTTAAATCGCTTAAAGAGGTACATAAGATTAGGTAACAATGAAATTAATAAGAATAAGATGTCCATAGGCTTGAAGAGAAAGTTTCAAACGAATGTTGGTCATTTTAAGCATTTTCGCAATTTAATTCGAAATAGACAGTAGAGGGCTTGAGTTGAAGAATAGGGTTCAATGGAGAGATGTGGCATCAGGTTTTTCAAGTAGAATCAGAACGGGAATAATCATCAATATATTACATAAGGACTTGAAGCAATTTTTTATAGATGCATTCATTTTATTCAAAAATAAAATCAAAAATATATTGAAGGGATTTCCAATTATTGAAGTAAACGCTAATTTCTGTGGAGAATTCATGAAGAAATCAGACGAAGCAGAAATTATCGAATTGAAATATTTCAACACTGAAAATGCCATTGTGGACGTAGGAACGGATTTACAACATTGGTACTATGATAATGTTAAGGACAAAATTTTGAATAAATTAAGCGAATTTCAAGAACGTGACTCTGGGTGGGCTTTGCATAAAATAATATCAATGGAAGTTGATATTAACAAACTTGAAATGGGAAATGGTTCATCCTTTATTAGACTGCCAGAACAAATTTTTAAAAAGCAAGCATGTTTGAATATAAAAAATACTGACTCGGCATGTTTCTATTGGTCAATCATAAGTGCCTCCTACCCAGCGAAAACAAATAGGGAACGGACTTCTTCATATCCATATTACACTACAGTTCTGAAAACAGTAGATTTAGATGCACCCATGTCTCTACGTCAAATTCCAAGATTTGAAAAAGACAGTAACATTTCCGTGAATGAATACACATTAGAGTTGAATTTAGTCAAGGAAAAATCATATTATACTGTGGTGCCAGCCAGACTTACAAAAAATAAATTAGAAAGGCACGTTGATCTATTGCTAATTCAAAACAAATATTATCCAAAATTAAATGATTATGAGGCTCCTCCGATTGATGAAGAAGATTCTGACATCAAATACCATTACTGTTTGATTCAAGATATGTCTAGATTAATATCAAGCCAAGTGAATAAACATAATGGTAAAAAATTTATTTGTGAAAGATGCATGAATTATTTTCAATGTGAACAAAAATTGATTGATCATGAAATGCTGTGTTCTGAATTGAACCAATGCAAAGTTTCATTTCCAAAATATGATCACATAGAATTCAAAAATTTTACCTACCAACAAACCACCCCCTTTATAATTTGTGCAGACTTTGAATGTCAATTAGAACATGTGGATGATATGGTTTCATCAAAAACAAGCAAATATCAGAAACATGTGGCTCATAGTGCAGGCTATTATTTTAAATGTGATTTCGATGATTCCTTGTCGTTTTTCAATAGCCATAGGGGTGAAGATTGTATGGATTGGTTTGCGAATGAAATGTCTAAGATAGCTGAAATCGTGCAATCTAAAATCAAAACAATTGTGCCAATGACTGTTAGTCCTGACAAATGCAAAGCAAAAATCTGTCATATTTGTGAGAAACCATTCAGGGAGAAAGACATTATCGTAGCTGATCATAATCACTTTTCAGGCGAGTTCAGGGGGTGAGCGCATCAAGCACCCTGTAACATAAATTTCAAGAAACTCTTTGTTGTTCCAATTGCATTTCACAACCTGATAGGATATGATTCACATTTCATGATCAGTCAATTGAGTAAAAAGGGCCGTATGAGCATACTTCCAATAAACATGGAAAAGTACATATCTTTCACTTTACATGATGACAATACAGACATCAAATTCCGATTTATTGACTCTTTTCGCTTCATGAGTACATCCTTAGATAAATTATCTTCAATCATGGATAGAAAAGATTTTGGAATTTTGAAAAAAGAATTCAGTCATTTGAACGATGATACATTCAACCTTCTCACCAAGAAGGGTGTCTTTCCCTACGATTACATTAGTTCTTTGGAAGAATTGAATGATACTGAATTACCTACAAAGAAATATTTTTATAATAAATTGAATGATGAACACATTAGCGATGAGCAGTACGCCCATGCTCAAAAGGTATGGTCATCATTCAAAATTCAAAATTTAGGGGAATATTGTGACTTATATTCAAAAACAGACGTTATGTTGTTGACCGCTGTTTTCGAGAAATTCCGGCAGAAATGTAGGACAACTTATGGGTTAGATCCAGCATGGTACTATACCATGCCTGGATATACATGGGATGCCATGTTGAAGTACACCAAATGCAAACTGGAATTATTGAATGACGTTGATAAAATCATGTTCATCGAGAAGGCATTACGTGGTGGTATTTCTGTTTGTAGTGGTAGGTATTCAGAAGCTAATAACAAGTATATGTCTGAATATGATTCCAATAAACCTTCAAAATATCTCATGTATTTAGATGTAAATAATTTGTACGGTTGGGCAATGTCAGAGTCTTTACCATTCGGAGATTTCTCATGGATGGAAAACGTTGAAAATTTCAACGTAATGAATATTGCTGATGATGCTCTTGAAGGATATATTTTACAAGTAGACTTAGAATATCCTCGCGACTTACATAACAATCACAAAGACTTCCCAGATAGCACACACTCGCCTAAGGTCATCTTCAATGTGTCGCCAAACGCCTGGAGAGGACATTCTATTTTCTACAACCTAAGAACATCATCAGGCGTAAATTTAGCGCTGTAATTGTCCTAAATGAGTTCTTTCAGTGACAGCCTGAGGATGTAAAGAGTTTCGTGCCTACGGACGTCTTCAGATGACATTCCATGAAATAACGTGTCATCGAAGACAAAAGGAAAAAAAAGAAGAACTAGAATTGAGGTTATGTCTCATGATAGTCATGATTTGTTCAAGATACATCATAATATATTAATGATTATATCAAAATTATTAGAGTATTCATTAAATACCTTCATCAAATTTCTATTTCACAAAATGATTGCGAGAAGACCTTATTGCACAGAATTAAAAGATAACAATAACAAAAGGATGATAATCTCTGTTGATCACATTTCTCTCAGGTAGCAAGAAACAATGGTGAGTAAATACTAAATAGAATCATCGATAGTACCGGACATGAAATATTGATACATTCATATACATTATTTATTGTTTCAGGAGGTTATTGAGAACACAAACTTGATGATATCATCATAGCAAACATGTTTTATTTCAAGATAGCTTTGCTTCTTCGGAATCTATAAAATATTGTATGGAAGCTTGAACTTTCAGTATGAATTCAATAAAGGTAGGTACCTGAATCAAATCATTGATATAGTAGGTACTGGACATGGAATGTTAATAGGTTAATTATTTGTTTCAGATGAAGTTATTGAGAACACAAGATTGATGATGTCATCAGAGCAGAGATGTTTCATTCCAAGATATTTTGGCTTCTTCGAAATCTATGTGAGATTGCGTATGCATGTTTGCACTTTCAGTATAATTATTCAATAAAGGTAGGTACCTAAATAAAATCATTGATATAGTAGGGACTGGAACATGAAATATTAATAGGTACATTATTTGTTTCAGGAGGTTATTGATAACACAAAATTAAGGTGGCTATCACAAAATGATGATATCATCAGAGCAGAGATATTTTATTCCAAGATATTTTGGCTTCTTTGGAAATTATGAAAGATTGTACATATGCAGACTTGAACTTTCAGTAGATTCAATAATGGTTGGTACCTATAACTACAAAAATCATATCATTGATAGTAAGTACTGGACATGAAATATTAATTCATTGTTTGTTTCAGAAGGTTATGCAAACACAAACCTGATGATATTTTCATTCCAAGATAGTTTTGCTTCTTCAGAATCTATAAAATATTGCATGAAGGCTTCAACTTCCAGTTGATTATTCTGCATCAGGAATGTCCAGAGTTCAGAAATCAAAAACAACATGGAGAAATATAACTATCAATAGGCAATAACTTCTAGTAGTGCTCAACAAGAAGCTGAAATACATTTCTTTGAAAAAGAAATTGAAATTTTTCAGAATAAGTTATAAATAATAGAATGTAAGTTTTTCATTTGGTTTTTCATTTGAACCTATTATAAATAGAGTGAAATTTTGCAAATATCATGAGATCCATATTATTTTGAAGAAATTATCATTTGCATAATACAAGGTGAGTCAATAGTGTGTTATCCTTGTATATTAGCCAAACCATCAGATAAGTAGAGAAAATTCAAGTACAACAGTAATAGGGTTTCATGAGAACATTCACATTAAATTGTTTTCATATATATCTGTAGGGTGTTCGAATTCCAAGATATATTGACTGATGATTGTTTTTTTCCAAATGGGACACCCTGTATACTATTGCATTTTTAGGTTCTCCCTGAAGAGCTGATTCCATCAATGTATCACACTTGGGGTCTAGCGGGAATGATTACAGAGATATAGGGTGTTCAAAAACAAGATTTTTCAATTTTAGGATTTTTTTTTGTGGAAACTATTCAATATTGGTCAAAACAGCTCACATATCCTTATAAACTTTCGATTTACTATCTACTGACATTCAATCGGAACAAATAGAGGCTGGATTAACATTCAGAATACTGATCAGCTTATTGTATCTGTTCCAAATAAATATCAGTAGATAGCTAATCAAAAGTTATAATAGGAACATGTAAGCCGTTTTGACCATTAATGAATAGTTTCGACACAAAAAATCCTACTTTTGAAGAATCTCAATTGTCAACACCCTATATCTCTGTAATAATTCCCACTAGACACCAAGTGTGATGCATTGATGGAATCAACTCTTCAGGGAAAACTCAAAAATGCAATAATATACAAGGTGTTCCATTGAAAAAAACCAATCATCAACCGATATCTTGGAATTCGAACACCCTATAGATATGAAAACAACTTTATGTTATTGTTCTTATGAAACCCTATTACTGTTGTACTTGAATTTTCATTTTATATATCTGACGGTTTGGCTAATATCGGAGGAGAACACACTATAGTGACTCATTCTGTATACGAATAATATTCTCCCATGAATCTTGAACCTCCTTGAAACATCATCAAAAACCGCCTCAAGTTGTTACCATGATGTCCTGAGGTTGTCTCAAAAGATTTCATAGGGATGTTCTGAGACGTTATTAGTATGTAGAGAATGGTAACAGGAGGACGTCTTGAGAATGTCCTCAGGCTCGCTCTCGACGTCCTGAGGACATGATTGTGAACGCCTCAGAAGGGCCTCAAAAGGAATTTGTGCTATCTGGGTTTCCATTTGCTGCTGAACATCGCATACCACCCGGCTCAAAATTACCAAAATTAATGACATCACTTTACGACAAAAAAGATTATATTTTACACTATAGAAATTTAAAACAATGTTTAGCAAACGGACTGAAACTGACGAAAATCCACAAAATTTTGAAATTCAGGCAATATTTTTGGCTCAAATCATATATAGATCTGAATACTTCTTTGAGGACTGCCGCAACAAATGAATTTGAGAAAAATCTCTATAAACTAATGAATAATGCAGTTTTCGGTAAGACGATGGAAAACATACGAAAGCATAGATTAGTGAAACTAGTAAGGTCATGGCAGGGGCGTTATGGAGCCAGAAATCTCATAGCTAGTCCACGATTCCGTGGTAGAACAATTTTTGAAGAAAACTTGATTGCCATAGAAATGCAGAAAACCGAAATAATTTTTAATAAACCTCTATACGTAGGAATGGCCATTTTAGATTTATCAAAATTGTGTTATGTACAAATTCCACTATGAGTATATGCTTCCGAAAATGGGTATTGAAAGGAGTAAATTGTTATATATGGATACAGACAGCTTCATATATGAATTGAAATGTGATGATGCATATGAAGAAGTTATAAAGGCTGATCTCTCTCAATTTGACACATCTGAATATGCTCCAGATAATGAATATAATATGCCACTAGTCAATAAAAAAAAGTTGGGTTTATTAAAAGATGTAGCAAATGGGAAAATCGTTACTAATTTCGTAGGACTACGTTCGAAAATGTATGCATATAAAGTACAAGGGGGTAAGGTTGTCAAAAAATCGAAAGGGGTGAAAACTAATGTTGTCAAGAATAAAATTGGATTCGAAGATTATTTGAATTGTTTGAAGAATTTCGGAGCACAAACAGTGTCTCAACGTACTATCCGTTCATATGCCCAGAATGTGTTTAGCATTCAACAATCAAAAATTGCTCTGAGTCCCAAAGATGATAAACGGTATTCGATTCCAGGTTCGTTTGACACATTGCCATGGGGTCATACACAGGCAGAAGAGTAATTTTTTCATGTAAATCAACTCATCAAACATTTATAAAGAAAAAAAAAACATACACCTACACTTACACTCCTCTGTTTTAGATTTAGAATTATTATCTGGGCTTAAAGAACGATATGAATGTGATATGGATTTACATGATTCACATTATCAGAGATATGAGAGATTCATCGATTCTGGTAATGAACATACAGATATTGATTCTTGACTTACTTTAACAATATTTTACAGATTTTAGTAGCATGATATCATCTTTACAAATGTAGTTTGCGAAAGAAGACAATGAAAAATGACTTTTTTTCAGAATATGTTTTTTCTTACGAAAATGTATAATACTTGTCCTGGCTATTAATGTAAATATAAAATATGCTGTCTATCTATCATTAATAAAATAATCATTGAAATTTTCTGTGTATCATTGGGATGGGTAGTGAGGGTAAGAGAGAGTGAGAGGGTAAAATAGTGAGATGAGAGAGAGAGAGAGAGAGAGAGAGAGAGAGAGAGAGAAAGAGAGAGAGAGAGATTGGATGGATATTAGTTGAAGGTATGGATGTAAAAAACAGTTGTATCATGTCTTCTGACGAATACAGACGTGCACTAGAAGAATTTGGGTTGAAAGTTAGAAAGCTCAGTGCAGACATCCAATTGTATAAGCAGAAAGTTTGTTTGTTCAAAGATTTGGAGCAATTGAGTGTTTGGGACAAGGTATTCACAGAACCAAGACGTTCAGTTGCAACGTTTCCTACATCGAGAAGAATCCAACCAACACAGCTACTAGATGGCGATACTGAAAGTAAGCTTCATTCTATTGACAGCTCTGAGCAACAACGTCTTCTACACAAACATACCGTACAATACGAGGAATGCAGCCGTATGTTTTGATGTGAATCGTACACAACAGTGTGATTGGAAGCTGATGAGTAGAATGTATGTCAACGATAACAAACTACCTGTATATTCAATCGACATGCCTCGAGTCAATGGGACCACCATCGACTACAAATTGAGATTATCGTTTTCTGATGGCAGTGACGGCGAAATGGGAGACTGGCAGACATTTACATTGAAGAAATCACCCGCAAAATTTGATGATGATCAAGATTCTGTCAATATCGTTGCAATTTTGACACTTTGTTGTACACTAATATGTTCACTCATTTTAATCTCGCATGTTATTTTCATTATACTGAGAAATAAGGGATGTGATGAATAAAAACTCTGAAATTACGATATATAGTTTTTTATTCAGGTATTAAATTACATAGCCAATCATATAAAGTATCGGCATTGTGGAGACTGCACTGGAACCTTCCTCCATGGAAATGATTCATGCAGGGTGGAATGGATTGTAGGAACGTTATTGGCTGCCACCAAGAATTGTCAAAATCTTCCAAATTAACAATGTGATTGGTCATCCCCAACTCTGCACATTTTCGCTGCAAAAACTGAATCTTTTGATGGCCTCTTACGTAGATGATGTTTGTCTGCTGCAGGTTATCTCGTAGTATTTGATCCAACTCATTCAAATCCACATAACCACTGGAACATCTCAAACCATGCACATAGCGTTCCAGGTGATTTGCCATCCTTTCATCTTCTTTGTTCAAACTGGAAAATTCTACAGATGGCTTGAATAGAAAATGACTCGTCTTTTTGCCTATGCGAATGGTCATTTCCTTTGGAATGAATTCACCATCAACCGTGAACCCTTGAATGTCAACCAGTGCAATCTCCATGACTCTTCGAAGCAAACTGACGTCTGACTGATGCAGCAACACCCACCTAGGCAATATTTCGAACAATTTCGCTGAGTGGGAGATGTTCCATGATTTGATCGTGAATGATGATGCAATAGGCTTTGGTGTCGGGAGGGAAGCCTGTAGTCGCTTCAATGTCCAACTTTATGTCAACTGTGGACGACTTCAGACCCAGATGGCGCCTCGAGCAATCGATAACAAACATTGGTCGGGATTTGAATTCGGCAAAGTTTACTAGAGAGCGCTTTTCTTGACAGTTATGGTAGCTCTTGTTGAACTCTGTATAGTTGAAGTATGCGTCGGCATATTGGTCTCGGGAAAAGTCCAATAGCATTCGTTCTTGCGGATAATAGTCGCTATTCAGAGCCAATCGTATGGATTTGATGTTGGCATTATCGAACAAGGTGACGTCTTCATGCAAATTATCGGCTTTTTTCGTTTGGAAAAATACTATAACATATCTTGGACTGTCCAATGCAGAACATGTCTTTACGGACCAGATTTCTATGGTAGATCCTTGTGTGAGTGCTGGTAGCTCGTGCAATTCAAATCGGCGAAACGGTATCATCATAGACTCATCTGCTTTGATACGTGTCAACAACTGCAACTTTATGTCATCGTTGGGTGTGAGATGTGGCACTTTCAAATTGATGCTTTCTATCGTTATTTTAGCAATACTCTGAGTCTGAGGAGATCCTTGCAAAGCAGTATTCGCTCTCTCGACAACCTTCACACTATTGGCATCATTGCGAGCTCTCACTAAACGGATTGACTGCTTGCCCCACGTTGCCACTTGATGATCATTGAAGATGGAAAACAAATGTTTTAGTGGAATGTTCATGCTAAACGTACCATCGGTGTTGAGGATCGGAGCATTGGGATAGTTCCAGCCTGCTATGGCTAGATGACGTGAGTCTTCAGGTGTATAACACAAGTATCCTCGCACAGTACTCGTTATTCCAGGATATCTGACAGTGTCCAATTCTTTATTACATAATTCATAGGTGCAGGAATCAAAGAGATAAGCTCCAGCATTGTGGGTTAATGTACCAGTACCACCACCGGTCACCTTCAATTTACCCTTGATGGTAATGATGCCTCCAAACATGGCCAACCACGAATCTGCTTGATTAACCGTTATATCGATGACATCATTGTTCTCGAATGATTTCACATATGGATAATAGGTACGCCATTCCACTTTAGTGATGCTTTCGTCGAGTCTGGGTTTGCGAAAAACGTCGAACACGGGTGCTAACAACATTGTAGTCTTTGAATGATTTCAGAAACAGGACACTGGATAATGTCAATGTTTTTCTGTTGCTGCTGCTGCTGCTCTTCGAAGACACGACTGCTTTGGTGCACGGTGTCAAGAGAACTGGTGCCGATGATGTTGCTGATGATGGTATATTATCTGATTTATAGGAGTAATCAAACACTAGTACCATCTTGCGAGTTTCTTCAATTCCAATCTTATGATGATTTCTTCACCTCTTAAATTCACCTGCCTGAAATCTTGGTCTAGAATCTGGAGTGTAATGTTGGGCAATTCCCGCCTGCTGACTATAGGTAGATAGATTAGATTTCTGGGAGTCTCGTCTATGGCGTAACCAGGATCGACTGCAACTGCAAACTCGTAGATCGTATGTGATGGTCTGTCGTTGTAGAGAGCTCCAGCAGTAACGTTGCTATCAATGTGAATGGTTCTCACTTTGGTTATGCTGACCGGCAAATCGGAAGTGTGGACTTGTTGTGCGTTCAACAATCTATTTGAAAATCCCAAGACTTGAGCTATGCTATCCTTTGGACGAAAATCGATGGCAAACCTTTGGCTCGAAATCTCACACTTTAGTATATTATTGTTGGGCTTCAACGAGAATATATCATCAACGTCCTCTGCACTTGAGATGCCCAATTCTTTGCGTATGAATGTCGCAATGTCCACAATGTCGTATGAACCTTCGGGAATATCGATGATCTTTCCCGCCTTGGTCTTATCTTGCAGATGAAACTTTGATCCTTTGTCGATATTTGGTATACTGTTGTATGAATGGAATCCCAACAATGCTAGTCCGTAATCAGAGTCTGGATCGAGTTGAAGTGGTGTCAAAAAGTCTATGGAGAGCGTAGATGTACGACCTTTCAACGTCAAAATCAGAGACATGACTGATGCACAATGATCGAGTTACTTGGTCTCATTAAAAAGGAATTCTAAACATAGACGTCCACAATTACTTTGATTGAAATTTTGGTATTTCTCATTATTGTACATGATTTTCGTGCCGGTACCCAAATATTGAGCCAATTCTCTGGGCGATTTCAGATTGCCATAACTATCGAAATATAAGGCTTTTTTATCATTTTTTATGTACGCCACCCAATGAGTGCCCGCATGATTGGCGGTATCCAAATTCAATACAGCACACTCGCGATGCCATGTACCGGTGGAAGGTAGAGTGTCCCGCATAAAAACACCTCGAAAATATGGTATTTTCAGCTGATTGGCATACTTTATCACATCTTTATCGTACATTGATTTATTGGGTAGCTTGTCTAGAAGTTTTTTGAGTTTTTTTATTGTTTCTTCAAGTACAGTCCGAATCCTCTCGATGTTTTGCGTAGAAATAGGCCGGAACCCTGCTTGCCGATAGCCTCCATTGCTCTATTATGTCTTTGATCTTCTTCGAGCTTTTTCTTTGCATTTTTCGCATCAATGACTGTCTTTGCGACTGCTCCGGCTCCTCCAGCTAGAGATCCTAGGGCCCCCAAGGCGGCAAAGATTGGTATCAATGGTAATATACCGCCACTGTGTGGAAGAGGTATGATTCTTGGTACTCTGATTCTTTTTTTACCGCCAGCCCTCTTGATTGCCATTCTAGCTGCATGGAGTGCTTTCAATGCAGATTTATTCAGACCACTTCCTGATGTTGTACTACCACCACCATCTGACTTTGATAGTACATTTCTTTATGAATTTGATAATGTTGGATAGGGATTGCTGTGATACAAGACCCATGCCAAGTTTTCGTTTGACCTTCATTCCGGTGGTGACAAGCCAAGCAGCAGCCTTCTCTTTGAATTTAGCGTTCTTCGACTTGACTCTCTCCCACGCTCTATTTTTCAATATCCAATCAGCTTTGTGCCTGTCTTCTATTGAGGAATTTTGTGAATAGGCGATATCGTGTACTCGACACGCGTCGTCCAACGGATTGATACCGGTGTCTCCTCTTGCAAGTCTTTTATCGAGTTTGGTACCTGGACCACAAAATCTGTAGCCTGGAATGTGTAATTCGATGGGAAGTTTATCGATCATAGAATTAAGCACACCCTCTCCGTGGTAGAGCAACATGAAGACTGACGTGTAGGAAGTTCGACAAAACTGCATATACCTAATGAAATGAAAAATATATCATCACATGATGAAGATCATTCAACAAGAACGTGCCCATTGTGAATTTGGATGAAATTTTGTCAATCAAACCCCCAGTAAATAGTAAACATGGAAAACTGCTTCCCCATTCGTTCAGAGCAGCAATCTTCTGCGGACCAAGCGGATGTGGAAAGACCAATGCGATGCTTTCCCTGCTGTTCAATCCAAATGGCGCGAAATTCAAGAATGTTTACGTGTATTCAAAGTCGTTGTTCCAACCGAAATATCAATTGCTGCAACAAGTGTTGGATTCAGTGAAAGGTGTTGGGTATTTTTCCTTTAAAGAAAATGATGATGTCATCAGTCCATCAGAAGCGAAAAATAATTCGATATTCATTTTTGATGATGTATCATGCGACAAGCAGCAAAAAATTCGAGAATATTTTTCAATGTGTAGACACAAGGATATTGACGTAGCATACCTATGCCAGACTTTTTCTAAGATACCGAAGCAGCTGGTGCGAGACAACAGTAACCTGTTGGTGTTATTTCGACAGGATGAAATGAATTTGAAGCATGTGTTCGACGAGCATGTCTCACCAGACATGTCATTCGATCAATTCAAAGCATTGTGCTCAGAGTGTTGGAATTCCAACCAATATGGTGCGATGGTGATTGCAAAAACTTTCGATATGAATGCTGGCAGATATAGAAATGGTTTCGATAAGTTCATAAGACTGTAATCTCTGGACCATTCATCAAGATGACGTCAACCAAGATGCATGATGATGTTGCTGATGCGCTGCGCAAGAAAAAAATCAACGAACTATCGAAATCAATCAGAAGAAAATATTTAGCACTAAAATTGGGCAAGTCTGAGGATGATGATGCGTTACAGAAAATATTTCAACCACTGACATCACCTTTGAAACAAATTACCACCACGTCCAAGGTAATAAAAGAAAAACTCGATGGAACGCTTTCAAACATCAAGCGAAGCAGAGCAAAATCGTTGGGGTTGAAGACGGAGAAGAAGGAGGAAGAGGATGGGGAGGTGGAGAGGGAGCAATCGGATTTGAACCAAACTAATTTCATACCTATGATGGATGTGGCTGATAATGCTGGGCATACTGAAGATGATGATGAGGATGGTTATGACGATGCTGATGATGAACTTTTTGTAGAGAGTGAAAATATCTCACCGGCTGCAATACATGATTACGTTGATCAGTATCCTGCGATGGCTCAAAAATATCTGACTGAATACTGGACAAATGATGAAAATATCGATACGGTTTATGGCCCCAAATATGATCCAGTAACATCGAAATGGTCCCTCAACGGAAAAGAAATGAATTTCCATCGATGAACTGGAGATATACTTCTTTATGGCTTTCGGTTCCGTGGCACCCCAGGCCTCTATCAATTACTCTTCTATAATGATCCATCCTTTGCCAAAGATGATACGAACCCATACAAGCAAATACTCTTGCTCACCAAAGCTCATCTGAATTCTGCAGGACGTATGAAGTCTTCCTCTAGACTCAAATACGTAGAAATTATTCGTCCAATGTTCAGATCCAATTCCAGTGGTCGTGGTTTGAAGTTGACATACAACACAGCACCTATCGAATACATGTATTGGGATGATCCAAACGAATTGGTAGATAGATTGAAGTTGCTCATTGCATCACAGCAAGCCGGAAATACATCAAACGATAACGAGATTGTTGCCATCTTGAACGAATTAGAAGAGGCAGGCATAATAAAACATGTGTGACATTTCCATGACAACTTCCGTGACAGTTCCGTGACACTTCCTTGACACTTTCATGACAGTTCCGTGACAGTTCCGTGACAGTTCCGTGACACTTCCTTGTCACTTCCGTGAACTTCCGTGACACTACCTTGACACTTCTGTGACAGTTCCGTGACACGTCCATGGCATGTCTATGAGTGAAGGGGCTAATAATTGGCGAGGCAAAGTGTCGACCATTATCGATAACGTACAATACTTTAGTCATTAGCATAATGAGTCTTGACAAATTCGGACGTGGTTCCTTTCCACGTTCAGCTCAGATGGTGACAGTCAGATCTGGATTTTCACATACTCCAACCGGTGATATTGATGTTGGTCATTTGAAGATGTGTAACGTAAAACTGCCAACAGATGTCGCTGATGTTGCAAACAAACAATATGTGGATGAAGTTATATCGCAAATAAAGTTAGATTTCAAGATTGCTTTCGATAATTACGGTGAAAAAATCCGAAATTACCTTGCTGGCTTCAGCAACGAAATAATCGAAGAAAGGAAGAGAGTGGATGTACATGATCTGAAACTGGCAGCGTTCAATAC